GAAAGTAAACTAAACAAGTGTGCACACAAGTATCATGATGACAAATACCAAATAACACAACAACAATATATAAAAAGGATTGTAACTTTGTCCGTTGATTATCATTTGATTTCACAGGCTATGCCTGCGCTAAGCCTGTCAGTGTCGGAGCGTAGCGCAGGCGCAACGGACCCAGGGAACCAGGCTGACTATGTTGAAGTTTATACGCCAAAGTTGTAGGTGCATAGTTAAGATATAGTGTCACTAACATGAACGTTCATGTTAGTGAACACTATGTATCTTAGCTACATGTCATCACATCCCAAATTGCGAAGATTGATGCTCATGCTGTTGATCACTGGATTGACTGGTTTAGACTCGATTATTTACAGACCGCCTCTATTTATAGCTGGAATAGTAGGGACTACACAGTATTAGCAGTTTATCGCACAGCATTTACTGTCTCTGCACAAATATGTTGTTTCCGTGGTAGTGGACATGTGCAGCCACCTTTGACGTTGAGGCATCCGCCCGCAGATGTCATGACGTTGTGCATGATGAATATATACGGTTTATTAGCAGTTTTAAACGATCAAACACTATACAATTAAGCTTTCCAAATCAGGGAGACGCTTTTCCCTCATCTAAATATATTTTTCGCTCTGTCATCAATTGAAATATCTTTCCGTAACATTACAATTCCCGCTTCAATTAAACCCTAGCGACCGGAAACGAAGCGCGTTTTAATAAAATACGGACAGACCCATCAAATTTACTTCGTTTATCTGGTGAGTATTGGATAATACCTTGCAGTTACTGTAGAGGTTTTAACAAATGGAGATTCTGCTTGTTTGCCTATATGGAATAGGGAACAATTAGTTGAATCGTTTCCATAGACCCGTTGTATTTGACCTGTTGACAAATCCGATTTGCCACTTCTTCCAGGCATGTTGTGTTTACACTCGTTAGATTGCAACACAGATAGAAGCAAGCAGGTACAGTTAAATTTCCGAATTTATTTAACCTGAATACGACTGTCGTGGTTTACAGATAGATTTGGGGTTCAGTTATAAAAGATTTAACAGGTGAGACAAGGAGGAGATACGCGTCCGCCATGTTTGATCCGAGATCGATGGTTACCATAATGCCCGGACGAGAGCGAACACATCTTTCGATGGTTCAGCACACATGGCGTATCATATGGTTCTTAATACTATCTTAGTAATTCATATAGCGTCTGTTTGGATTTGAAGTGATCATTTTGTCGGACTGCTAAGTCTCTTTTCTGAGTATGGCTCCGTGTAGCTTCGCTGATGTACAGTCGGTCGGATTTTAATCCGCGATTCTTCGTCTGCCCGGTTTTTATTAACAGTGTCCCATGTACCCCCTTCCCGTTTTGCACACACGCTTACTTTAGAATTTATTACCACAGCTTTTCAGAAAATGTTACAATATGTCACATTAATCTGTTTGATCTGTCATCTCATCACATGCTACTTGTGATATGACATAATATAAGCATGCCATTGCCAATCAAACTATACATATTGATGATGATATGTGATGACACATTATTAATTAAAGCAAGTGCTTTGAATAAGAAGCAGTTTTGTTTTTATCATCATTTATAACAGTGTTCTGTGTCGTTTTAATTAATGGAACACCTTTTATTAATTCACATCTAAAGGAATTATGGAAGTTAGCTGAACAAGTCACTGGTCAGTCATTTTTATCATTATTAACATTGAAGTGTTCACAAGAAGACATACCAATGATCTGGACAACACCCTTTCATGGTCATTAGACTTGGGCCCCTTGGAATATTGCTGACTACAAGAACATGCTGCAGGGTTGTCTCCCAAAACCCCTACAGCCCATAACCCCTACAGCCCAGTACCCCTACGATTAGTTAAAACAACACGCAGCATTTACCTGTGTGGCATAATGAACTGACCCAAAGGAGTATACAGTGTGAGATTATGCTGCACAGAGTATACAGATGAGAAGGGAATAAGATTGTGCTGTTGTTATTAGGGTTTTAATAATTTTTTAAATAATTTAGATGAATAAAATGTTGAACTAGTTGTTCTAGCTTCCTGATGTACATATAGGGAGTGAGCAGATTTTGCAAATCGTAATAATATCAGTTGTAATAGTGTTGGAGATAGTAAACTGAGATGAATAATTTAAGGTGAGGTGAAATTGGGTTTAACTGCGGATTGAGAATATTTCTTCTACATATTATGACGTGTGTGTGTGTATGTGTGGCTGCTTGTACTAGCTCAGACTGAAGCTGGTTTTATAGTGCTAGCCCACTGAGATACCATGCCGCAGTGAAGCAGGAATACCCCACTCAGACACATTATACTGACTCTGAGCTGACCCGGCCCTTGTTGTTACCATAAATGCCAATCACCAGGCAGGGACCAACAAGTACCATATTTTAACGCTTTTTGGCACAGATGCGTTGAGGGATCGAACTCCGCGACCTTCCGCTATTTCCAGGTTTGACGCCTAACCACTACACCAATGGAGGCGGTCAGTGAAAACATGAGAATAAGTTATGTCCCATGATTATGTCATCTGAAAGGGGTGGGTAGTGTCTCCAAAGCAAGCTCTTTCAGTAAACATGATGGGGGAATCACTTTAACAAGCTTTACTGTAGTTTCAAATTTCTTTTTATGCAATTTAATATCTAAGTTTGATTCTAGAGGACTTCTACCTATTCAAACACACAAAATATTTCTTTTGCATATTTTGTTTCCTGAATTTGTGATGCATTTATTGCAGATTTTGAGTTTTTGGGTGTACAAAGATAAAAAGTCAAACAAAATGGGGATCATGAGGCTGGAACATAGCAAAACCAGTTTGCTTGAGGTTGACAGATAACATGTAGAAATATAAAACATAGAAAACATTTTGTATGTAATGACATTATGATATTTAATGAAGTTGACCTCAAGTTCAATATTATTGTGGGTACAATGTGTTAAGCCCCATTTCTGGTGTCCCTCTTACTGCGGATGTTGCTGGAATATTGCTAAAAGCGGCGTAAAACCAAAACTCAGTCAGTCAGTCAATATTATTGAACTTTTGTTAAAATATTTTTGTTATCATCCATAAAAACCATTCTCTCAAACTCTTAGTTTGGTTTGGGCTGGTCCGTAGTATGAAATAGGTAACAGGTAGGAGATAAGCAGTGCACTGGACCATGAACTTTGAAAAGCTGTAGGGGTTTTGGGAGGTTACCTGCTGCACTTCTGCTCCTCTTCCTGTATGTTAGTGTCAAATTTGCTGTGTATTGGCAAATGAGTTTATTGCATATATTGCAACCTCAACTCCATTCATGTAGTCAGTATTGTGATATACATGTATTGGGGGTTAATGTCTTTGTCCGTGAGTGACGCTCATCATACAACCAGATCCTATTTTCTACACATCGAGGCCCTGAAAACATTTGTAATCATTCTGATAATCTTTTTTCCTTTAATGCAATTTACAGCATGTAACGACTGCTGTTTTGTCATAATTACAAAGGGAACTGTCGGTTGTGAATAGAAGTTGAGTAGGTTTTAACTTAAACCATAGATGTAATCCCAAAACGTGTTTTATTCCTTTACCCAATATACTGGTTTTCCTTAAAGACATTGCAATACCTTTGAAACTGGTGATACTGTGCAATAAACTGGCAATACTGTGCAGTCATACAAATGTTTGTTTGTTGTTTAACGCCACACTCAGCAATATTCCAGCTATATGGCAGTGGTCTGTAAATAATCAAATCTGGACCAGACAACCCAGTGATCAACGGCATGAGCATTGATCTACACATTTGGGATATATAGGTTATCACGCGAGTGTGTTTTGGGATGGTTAATATCTTGCATTAGGAATAATCACTGTATAAATACATAGTGATTATTCCTAATGCAGGATATAAACCATCCCAAAAGACACGAGTGTGATAACCTGTTTATCATACAATGTCATTTTTGCTTTATAATTTTAAAAAATGCGATTTCAAATGCCACAAACATGGGTGGAAATAACCCATTGCCCGACGCCCCAGTCCAGTGTTTTTTTCTGTCGGGCAAGCAAATTTGTATATCACACTATACCGGTGTCCAGTTCACTTTCCAATGTTAATTATGTTATCAGGGCAAGTGATTTTACATGTGCCACTGTACCGGAGTACACTAGCAATTTTCAAGTTATTTCCATCCCTGCACAAATCATGAAACTAAACTTTGTGGAATGTCTATGACATCACAAATATTTGCGGAGTAATGTTACGCCACAAGCCCGGTGACATAATTTTCTCCTTATCACTCAGCGGTCATCTAGTTCCCAGTAAGCTTTTATGCTAAAGCACGTATTGTTGTCATCAAATCTTAGCTTACGTTTGAAAAATAACAACAAACTCGTGCGTGAAACATTCAATTAACATTTTGAACAACAAAATATGCTTTAATGTTAGTGTGACATTGTGCGACTGGATTCCTATGCCGTTCTCTCACTAACGCTGACAGTTGGTCGGGGAACTGATGTTGGTATCTTCGTAAGCCTATGAATTTCTATCTTCGCTTTGTAATCTACTCCATCTATCAAAACCAGGCATGAATTTTCTGGGATCAAAGCCTGACAGTACCGCAACCACCTACTCGCTAATCCGACACGCATCACTGACCCTTGACGCCATGTTTGTTTACACTTTGAAAGTAGTCCCTAAAATTTGCATATGACCTCTCTAATTTGCATCGATATCCAGATATGACCCCAACGGATACCGAAAATATCCGCTGGCTTTATCCTGCCGAAACACTATCCATTGTATGATAAATGATGACATGTGCCAACCAAGTCAGCGAAGTCTGACCAATTCGATCCCGCTAGTTAGGGCCTTTATGACAAGCATGTCCTACTATTGAATGTGGTCTTCTTCCAGGTGGAGAACCTGCCATGTCCACTAGATCGGCGGCCAAAACTGCCCCAGGGGGGACACTCAGACAGACCCACATGGGATGGAGCCTGACTCCCCTGCACCCTCACCACCAACATCTCCCAGTACTCGAGTGACGCGGCAGTCGAGACGTGCTACATTTGAATGTGAAGACTGTGGTAAGAAGTTCCTGACAGAGCAGATGAAGACGACACACAGCTTAATACACTTGGGGGAGAAACCACATGGGTGTGAGCTGTGTGGGCGACACTTCCGGCGAGCTGATGAGCTGCAGCGACACAAGACCAGGCATAGTGAGGAGGATGGAATATGCTGCTTTGTCTGCAGCTTGGAGCTGGACAGCTGTTCGGAGCTGGTTGATCACATGAAGAAACACTCTATCAACTTCAAGTCTAAGATGTCAAGTGCGGGCTACACATTCCGCTCGTCCTCTGTGGTGAAGAGCTATCGGGACCTGTTCGGCTCCGGCAACCCACAACCTTGTTATGTCTGCTTCAGAGATTTCCCAGGAAGTGCAGAGCTTCTTGAGCACCTGGGACAGCACACTGCTGTGGAGCTTTGAAAGGTAGCAGTGACAGAGATCTGTGGAAGAGTTCCTCATCCTATGCTGAACTTCAGTATGGCGGAGAAGAAGAAGGGCAAGCTCCTACAGAGTCTAAAAGCTCAGAAGGAAGAGCAAGTAGAGACAAAACTGAAGTTAAATCGGAGTTCACTCATGTTTGTCGAGTCTGTCATCAGATGTTCAAGGGCGTGGAATCCCTGTTGTGTCACTGGATGGAAAGAAAGGGAAAGAGCGGCCATGTAGGTGCAGTTGGCGGCGAGGGCTATGACACTCATAATATACATATGCACTATCATGGTCGACGGCTTGGGTCTGGCGTAACTGGTGTGGTGAGACCTTCACCTCTGTCGAATTCTGTTGTCTCTCATCTGGAGGTTCATGCAGACACAGAGGTCAACACGCAGATCACAGAAACACATGTAGAGGTACCCTTGAGAGACACTGAATCAGTCACAGAGCCCACAGTAAAGGTCGAGGAAGTAGAGAATGAAGTGGAGAGTGGGGAGGAGGGGAAAATGTTGTATCACATGTCGGATGAGTCTGATGGAGAACTAGACCCCACTCCATCTGGGAAGTTTGAGTGTTTTGTTTGTATGAAGGTAGCAAATGTAAGTCTGCTCCTCAAGCGAGGCATATGATGATACACAAGGAAGAGAAGCCGCTCCTGTGTCCGGTAAAAAGGGAGGAAATATGCTCTACCTGAGGACCTGAAGCAGCACCTGATCCGCCACGGGGCTCGCACCTGTACCAACAAGGCAACTCCACAAACCCCAACTCCAGGTTCAAGTGCTTACATTTGCACTCGCTGTATTTCAGTGTGAGAAGGACCTTCAGTTCCATGGTGTTTTTCACGGAGTGTACCGACCTAACGCCAGGACTCACGCTGATGGTCAGTCCACCGTGTGCCCTATCTGTGGGAAGATGCTGCAGAAAGCCACCAGCCTTCCTCTCACATTGAGCTTCACACCCAAGACAGGAAGTTTGAGGTGGTGTCTGTGGACGACGCTCTCAAGTCGGAGAGGAACCGAATCGCTTATCAGAAGATCCACACAGGAGGAAAGAGTTTGTGTGTGAAGTCTGTGGAAGGGTCTTTCACTCTAAAAGCTGAGTACGGCAGCACATTTGAATCGCCATAACACTGACCCATCCTTTAATGGTAAAGCTGGCCGCAAGAAGGGCACTAAGGTCATCAATAATAAGGTCATTTACTCAAAGGAAGGCTATGGATCACCAGAAGACAAGGTGGCCATGGCCAGGAAACCAAAGAGTCGTGTTCTTCGGAGGGATCTTCACCTTGACAGCAATGGCGATGTGTTGATGGACATGTCAGCTTTGTCAGGAGTGACTCACAGTCTTCTGAATCTGCCGGAGAAGACTATCATCCCACACAAAAACAAGAAGAGGAAGATGGCAATGGTCATGGCTGATGACACCACAGAGCCTTCCTCCAATGGACACCAGGTGGTGCTTCAGAGTGTTGAGACACAGACAGAGGTTCTGACATCGGAACAATCCTCTCTGTCACATAACATTGACATTATCACTTCTGAACTGGCAGATCCTAATTTGACTGCAGCCGAAGTGACCAGTGTTGATGGTGTGTCTGCAGCTGAGGATGAAGCAATCATCATCATTGTGCAGGACCCCACGACGGGGGAAAATGAGGTCCTCACCATCAAGAGTTTCCAAGAAGGGGCATCCAAGCTCATCAGCCCCAATGAAGAACTGATGAAAGCCTTAGAAAGTTTCCAGAAAAACAAGTGTCTGGATGAAATGACCACTCTGCCCGCTGGGAGTATTGATGGTACACAGGTGAAGACAGAAGTACTGGATCAGCCTGAGGAGAGTAAACCTCACAAACATCCAGCTGATGATGTAACCGTGGCAACAACTACCCAAATACTTGACGATGTTCCACTTGAGGTTCTAGGTGATGTGACTTTGAGCACAACCTCGCAGTGTTCATTACATCAAGGTGACATGGTGACTGCTGTAGAACACCATGACAAAGCGGCAGCTGTACAACAGGATGACAATGTGTCTGTTGGGGCAGGGAACCAGCCTCAGTTGCCAGCCATCAATGTTGAACAGACCATGACACCCTCTGGAGATGGCGGTCAGTCAGGAAGTAAGCTGGTCGTTGCCTCTGAGCAGGATTCTGCACTTTCAAGGTAAGTTAGGGACCATTCATAAGTTATGGCTAGGGGAGGTGATTATGACTTTTATGGAGAAGCTTGTACAGTGTGAAGGAAAACACACACACCCTCCCCTAAAATGTATGTACAAAGTAAGTTACCCCCCTGTATATCATGTACACAATCAAAGCCACCTTTCCCCCCCCTTTTTTTCTCCATAAATTTAAGCATGATATTTTAATACTTCTATGTACAAAATTGATGAGATGACAACCAACTCACACACAACCTCCCATGACCCCCTACCTCCCCAGAACAAAATGGTCCCCCTCCTTAAAATCATCATCATGCCCACAAGCCATAGATTATGAACGGCCCCTTACAGTGTAACAACCAGGAATCACTATTACAAGGCATTCTATTGTTAATTACTTCCATCTCCCTTGACCTCTAAATATTCTTTAAAAAGTTTTTTGAAATAATACAAACGTATACTTGCATGGTTTGATTCAATCATGGATGACTTTCACGGAACTCCATTTGTCTAGTGTTGATATATTTGACATTTCTGATGCATACATTGATACCCTTCATCAATACACCACTATAGATACACTGCACCATTCAAAATTGTACTAGGACTCACTCACCACTATGACTTTGTACAGTGAGTGAGTGAGTTTAGTTTTACGCCGCACTCAGCAATATTCCAGCGATATGGCGGCGGTCTGTAAATAATCGAGTCTTGACCAGACATTCCAGTGATCAACATAATGAGCATTGATCTAAGCAATAGGGATACGATGACATGTGTCAACCAAGTCAGTGAGCCTGACCACCCGATCCCGTTAGTCGCCTTTTACGACAAGCATGGGTTACTGAAGATCAATATTCTAACCCGGACCTTCACTGGTCTCTTTGTACAGTTTGAGTGAGTGAGTTTGGTTTTACACTGCTTTTAGCAATATTCCAGCAATGTCACGGTGTAGGCAATATTGTGGCAGAAATACTTGTCTTGCCAGCGTTTCACAGGGGTGGAAATAACTTTAAAATTGCTAGTGTACTGCGGTACAGTGGCACATGTAAAATCACTTGCCCAGATAATTTTTTCCACTATACCGACCAATTTTCTTGTTGATTTTTTAAATAAACAACATAATTAACATTGGAAAGTGGGTGGTAGGGTTGCCTAGTAGTTAAAGCATTCGCTCGTCATGCTGAAGGCCTGGGTTCGATTCCCCACATGTATACAATGTGTGAAGCCCATTTCTGGTGTCCCCCGGCGTGATATAATATTGCTAAAAGCGGTGTAAAATCATACTCACTCGCAAATGGAACATAATAAATATATTTGATACACTGTACATTCTGTGATTTCTTGGCATGCCCATATGTTTTGTTCTTTCTTCTGTTCTAGTGTTCTTCCTGGACAAGCCGACAATCTCAATGTCAAGGTTGTGTCCTTCACCTTGGACGAGGTAGACAACAGGCATCCTTGTTCCCATATATCCTGACAAGTCTAACCTTAAACTGTCAGTCACCGGGACAGTACTGCAGTGCCATTGTGAGCTTACACCATCCTTCAAACAGGTGTTGCACCGGACACCATCCCTGGAACAGGTGTCGGTATCGACACCACCCCTGGAGCAGCTGCTGCCATGGATAAGACCAATGGAGCTAATGTTGCCATGGACACCATCAGTGGGGCAAGTGTTGCCATTGACACCATCAAAGGAGCAAGTGTTGCCATGGGCAATATCAATGGAGCCACGGACACTCCAGCAAAGATGTCAACTCAGGCTTCTCCCACCTCCAAATTACAGGACTTCAGTGAAACAATGACGTCGTCGATGTTGCTGAACACTGATGGTGACCTGACTGCTGTTGAGGCACTGATGCAGATGAAGTCTCCCCAGCATGCAGGGATAAGGCCACATCTGGTAGGTCCAGCTGGAGACAGGATGACATGTCCCAGTGTTCTGCAGAAGGCTGTAAGTGTCCCAGTGTTGAAGTGTACTCCAGATGGTAGAGTGATCAAGACCCCAGCAGGTGCTCCAGCAGTATTCAAGTCTGTCAAACTGTCGCCAACTTTGCCTCCAAGTCCTGGAAAAGATTTGCAGTCTGAGCTTGAAATTGCATCAACTTCAGCCGATGTCCCTCATGAAGATGATGTTGATGATGATGATGATAATGATGATGGTATTTCTAATGATGATGAAATAATAGAAGAACCTGTCAGGAAGAAGAGGAAGACAAAGAAGGATTTAGATTGGACCCCTGCTAAGCCAGTTCGTAAGTCTCTCCGCAACAGCTATGAAGGAGTTTCAAAAATTGTTGCCTCTCTCCTCAGGCAGAAGAAACCCAGAGGAACTGTGAAGAAGATGAAAGCCAAAGCTGATGTTGCTGCTGCTGGAGATGCTGCTGAGGGTGTAGAGGAGAATGGCGAGCCAGATCGAGAGTTTGTGAAATGCAACATCTGCCGTAGTCTACAGCCGTGGGAGGAGCTGCGACAGCACATAGACACGGAACATGGAATCAACGCCTACCAATGTGGGCTGTGCTCAAAGGGCTTCGACAGCAACGTGGATCTCCACATGCATCTGTTGGGGCATGAGAAAGACGACCGCATCAAGAGGACTTTGTCGCTGTTGACTGGGGACACGGAGGTGAGGAGGCAGCTGGCCAGCACAGGGGTGAGTTCGGGTTTGAGCGGGGAAGCATCGGCAGCCATCTTGGCCCTGGAACGGGGTGGGGATCTCAAAGAGGTGCTGGCTACGGTGGAGGTTGACGTGGAAGACCTCATCAACACTGACATAGACACCAGCAATAAAGAGGAAGAGACAAACAAAGAGGACATTGTCAACATTGACACAAAGACCAGCACTAAAGACGGAAAGACTATAGTCACCATGTCTAATGTTAAGAGCAGTGTGGAACATGGTGATAGTGGATCAAGTCAAAACCAGACAAGTGTTGAGACTTCTTCAAAAAGAAATCAAGAGGACATAAATGTAGATTCTAGTAAGAGTACAAAACCTCCTCCCGATGGGGATTCATGCATCGAGAACCCCACCTCTACTGAAACCACATCAGGTGCCAATGAATGTTCAGATGACGTAAAGCAGCCTGGAGATTGTGCAGCTTGTCGTGAATCATTCATGTCCTCATTCTCACTGAAGAAACAGAACTCAGAATTGCCTATGATGGAGCATACATGTGACAGGGCAGCATCAGAGGAATGCTGGGACAGAGAGTCGGGAGACGAGGGTCGAGAGGGCCTCACATGCGTGTGTGGTCTGTGTGGCTACAAGTTCGTCAATGTCAACCTGCTCACCAGGCATGTGAAGGCTCACTACAGAGAAAAGCCTTTCTCCTGTGATATGTGCAGCAAGAAGTATGCGCGCCGGGACGAACTCGTGAAACATCGGATGTCACATCAGGCCGTTGTTGTTAACAAGCCTAAACAGGAGCGGAGGAAGTTCCTGCCGAGAACGAAATCGGGAAAGTATCCGTGTCATCTGTGTAAGGAACAGTTCAAGACATACCAGAGCAGATACACACACGTGTTGTGTCATGAGAGTGATGAGGCTACTAGTGAGAAAGTTGACATTGATAAACCCAGAGACAAATCCAGTCTGTTTAAACCCACGGACAAGTCAAACGTGACATGTGACGTATGTGGTCTCGTGTTGTCCGGGCCTCGGCACCTTGTTCGACACAAACTCATTCACACGAATGAACGCCCATGGCTGTGTCAGGAATGTGGGAAGAGTTTCCTGCGCAGTGACGATCTACGTGTTCACCAGAGACGACAACACAGCAATGTTGGAAACTCTGACGCCAACAAGGAGTCAAAGTTCAGGAAAGTTTGTCCTTTCTGTAAACGAGTCTTCACCTCTTTCAACTCCTTCCGCAATCATGTGAAAACCCATAAGAGCGAGAGGCTGGACGGAAGCCTCTGCGCTTAAATCTGTGGGAAGGTGTTCATCAAACACATCAGTCTCCGTGAACCACCAACAGATACAATAAAAACACCTACCGCCGCGGCATGAAGAGAAACACCACCAGTCATAAACCAGCAACCTTGACCTACAACTGTGAAGACTGCGGCAAACAGATCAAGAGCAAGAGCAACTTTGTCCGTCACATGAAGTTGCACAACGAGGGTAAGCATCACATCTGCTCCAAGTGCACCAAGGGCTTTGCACGCCAGGCTGATCTGCGCATGCATGAGCGGCTGCATACCGGTGAGCGTCCGTTCTTGTGTAACCTGTGTGGCAAGGGCTTCACCTCCAACTCTGCCCTCAGCCACCATGTGAAGATGCACAACCAGCCTGTGGTGTACAAGTACTCTTGCACTCAGTGTGAGGGCCTGTTTGCCTCCAGGAAGGAATTCAAGGATCATGTAAAGAGCTGTACGCCAAAACAGATGGAGATTGTGTTTATACAGGAGACTGAGACTGTGCCCATTGAAACTATAGAGTATATCTAGCAAGGCGTATAAGAAGGTCACGTGATAGGCTCCGAAAAGATCCAGTTTAAGATTGGCCCTCGGCCATCCATGCTGGTCGTAAGAGACGAGTAACAAGAGTGGAGAACAATGCTAATGTCTTCTTTGAGTGGCATTTTAGAAGTTGGGAAGTACAATATAGAACAAACTTTATGGATAACAACTTCTTTTTATTCGTGAGTGCGACGTTTCAATACAGATTCTTGTACCGCTGTCAAGCATTATCAAAACGCCGCGACTCACTTAATAAAAAGAAGTTGTTATCCATAAAGTTTGTTCTATAATGCTAATGTCAGCAGACCGCCATGTAGCTGGAATACTGCTGAGTGCGGCGCTAAACAACAACCAATCATGTTAGCCATTGGGTTGTCTGGTTCACACTCAAATATTTCTGACCTCCGCCTGGAGCTGAGTAGTGCTGTGTGTGTTGCTGAACAAACACATGAATGACTGGATATATAACAGGTAGATATGGTCTTCATACTGAATATGTTATTATTAAAATAATAACAATATCAAACAATTCCTTTGAGCTATTGTATAATTATGTCAAGTGTCAAGTGGAAATGAAGATTGTGAAACTGTTGTGTATATCCAGTGTTTTTATTTACCTTCTACAACTCATGGAATGAATTATAAAATGACATCACATAAACAACCAAGTTTGTGTAGGAATTGTGTTTCTATAACATGTATTTCAAATGAGGTATGTTTGGTAAGCAATATTTTATTATAAAACTGTAAACAAATTTTAAGTCCATATCATCAGGATCATATTCCTTTACACAAACTGATGATTTTATTAGTTTATGATGTTTATACACAGTTTGCTTATGGCTTATTAATTCTACATTGGTTAACAAGCCTTAAACATAGAAGGAGGGGTAGCCAAGTGGTTAAAGCGTTAGCTTGTCACACCGAAGACACGGGTTCAATTTCCCACATGGGTAATGTGTGTGAAGCCCATTTCAGGTGCCTTCCATCATGATATTGCTGGACTATTGCTAAACTAAACTCACATACTAATCATAGAAGGAAAAATATGATGCTCAGGTCACAGTCTAAATATGACCAAATGGTGACTGTAGCAAGATGACAGTCGTAAGTGTAAAATAAAGTATGGAAGTTATGATCAGCTTATGGTACAATCATTTTGTGGAACATGGTTCAGGAACTGAAAATATCATAAAGTGTCTACGGTGAGATTAGGTGAGGTGAGTGAGTGAGTTTAGTTTTATGCCGCACTGAGCAATATTCCAGCTATATGGCGGGGGTCTGTAAATAATAGAGTCTGGACCAGACAATCCAGTGATCACAGGATGAACATCGATCTGAACCGATGACATGTCGCAACCAAGTCAGTGAGCCTGACCACCCGATCCCGTTAGTCGCCTCTTACGACAAGCATGAGGTGAGGTAAGGTGAGGTTAGGTGAGGTGAAATGGGGGCCAACATCACATTGCAGATTATCGCTCATATGTAGCAATGTGTATGGTTTAAACATATTTTTATTCCCAAAGAATCTGGTTTGGTAAACAAGCAAAACTTTGCTTTTATTCATACCTCACCGGTACATATATCATATAAATAAAATACCCAAGAACTGGATACTCAAAAACAACAAATTAATCATATATGTGCATTGTATGCCCTTATGAACCTTGAAATTCATGAAATAGATAATACTAAATGATGTCCCATGTAATACCATATTTATGAAACAAGTGAATGGTTTGATATCTAACGACCATAAATATGGTATTACATGGATAGAGTTTAGTATTTTATTTATTACTCACCCAACATTTGCAAAGTAATATCGAGCAAAGTACTTCTTTCCTAAGAATTCAACGAGTGTGATGACTCTGAGTTTTCAAGCAAGGTCGAATACTTTTGTTACAGAGGAATTAGCATTGTGACATCATAACTGTAAACCACTTTGATGTCATATGTACGGCTTCATACGATGTTATTACACATTGTAAACCAAAAGTCACTGTGTTCTTTAATCTGATTGGTTGAAAAACGTGATCAAATGGTATTCGAGTATTAATACATACAAACATCGCTCACACCATTGTATTGTTACGTCGTCAGCTGTGATGACGTCATTCAAATCATATTGTGACGTAAAGTCGGAATGACGTCACAAATGAGCAGTTCCAGATGGTACCATGGGACACAGCCGAAACGTCCGGCTGATGACATTTCACTGCTGTACTCGTACTCGATGTCAATGAGTGCAGACACAAAACGTGTGTGGACCTTTTGGTTTACTTTTGTGTTTATAATGTTGATCAACATTATGGGTTTGTTATCCGCGTTATTGAGTATTTGAATACTCATAACACGCCGCCTGAGGGTTTCAAATGAAATATTTGTACAACACATGATGTTTATCTCCTGCGATATTTTCAACGGTGAGTAATTATATTCAGTTCTAATGACTTGGATCATTCCAATATGCATATCTTGCTGTGCTAACAACACCAATGAATGAGAAAAAAAATCCTTTTATAAATTTCATGAATATTCAATTCGAGTGAAGGCAAATAATGAACCAAATTCATAAAAGGATATGGTTCGAATATTTGAGTGAATAATAAAATCCATAGTGTGCATGTGTACATACTTTTTCCAGTTCTTGGATTCCAGTGAGAGAGTGAGTTTAGTTTTACGCCGCACTCCTCAATATTCCAGCTATATGGCGGCAGTCTGTAAATAATAGAGTCTGGACCAGACAATCCAGTGATGAACTGCATGAGCATCGACCTGCGCATATTGGAACCGATGACATGTGACAACCAAGCCAGCGAACCTGACCACCCGATCCCGTTAGTCGCCTCTTTGGTTACTGAAGGCCAATATTCTAACCCAGATCTTCACGGGTATTCCAGGTTTGAATTGGTGCACAACCCATTCTGGTTGCAAAACATGGTTAAGTAAATGCGGTTTTCAGTCTTGGTGGTTTTGTCTTCATCCTGACTGCAAAATGTAAACATTGGCGGTGGTGTAAGTCCAACATTGAGAAGATTTATGTACCATTGCAGTAGGTTTCACAATGTTAAACCGCAAGTGTTTGTTTTGAGACACTAATTGGGAAGAAGCTAATCTTGCAAACAAGGTTCACTTCTCTCTCTAAACAACAAAAGAGTGAGTGAGTGAGTTGGGTTTTACGCCGCTGTTATCAATATTCCAGCAATATCATGGCGGGGGGACGCCAGAAATAACAACAAAAGAACAAATGCGTGAGTCTGAACACCTCTTCTCCTGATGGGAATGATGTGCCAGCTCTTAATTTAACACAAGTCAGAAAACAACACCGTATATAAGTGAATACTATTGTTTATTCTGAACTGAAGCTGCACATGGCATTATTCAACAATCACTCATACACGGCACCGCTACCACACACTTTGAATATCCCTACCAACTCTTGAGCTGTATATACATCAGCTGTATCCAGACTATTGTTTAACATTGTGTGGTGGGTTTGTTATTTAGATACACACACCCATGCCTTAAGCTTGATCATTCATGCTGCATGAGATGCCAAGGGAAGTAACTCTGCAAGAATCACATTTCAGCCATATCTGGCTGCCGTTTGAAACAGCCACAAACAATGTCTCAAACATTCCTGGTTTAGACAGATTTCTATGTATTGGGTTAAAAAACCTATGTCTTACAATGGAAACAGCATGGTTAAGTCGCAATGACATGGTAAAAATAAGCCCCTGATCATCCAGAAGAACAGCCACCTAGTTTATTACAGGCAAACATAAATTCTTTGAGTGGCATTTTAGAAGTTGGACGTACAATACTGAACAAACTTTAGAGACCGTACTTAATTTATAGCTAGGGGTGGTGATGATGATTTTGAGAGGGGTGTGTGTGGTGTGGTGTGGGGGTGTCACCCCATTTTGTTCTGAGGGGGTGGGGGATGTCAGCAATTTTGTTAAAATTATGGAATGGGGGTAATTGATTTATATACATGACATGCAGTCACTTACTTTGTACATATATTGGGGTGTGTGGGGTGTGTGTGTCTTACACATTGTAAATGCTTCTCCATAAAAATCGTGTAGTAGTTTATGCTGCACTCAGCAATATTCCAGCGTTATGGCGGCGGTCTGTAAATAATCGTGTCTGGACCATACAATCTAGTGATCAACAGCATGAGCATCGATCATATCGAGATACGATGACATGTGTCAACCAAGTCAGAGAGCCTGACTACCGGATACTATTAGTTGCCTCTTACGACAAGCATCGGTTACTGAAGATGAATTCTAACCCGGATCTTCATGGGTATAACATGCATGGGTCAGTGAGTGAGTGAGTTTAGTTTTACACAGCACTAAGCAATATTCTAGCTATATTACAGCGGTCTGTAAATAATTAAGTCTGGACCAGATGATCCAGTGATCAACAGCATGAGCATCAATCATATCGAGATACGTTGACACATGTCAACCAAGTCATCGAGCCTGACCACCCGATCACGTCAGTCGCCTCTCTCGACAAGCATGGGTTACAGTAGATCATTTCCAACCCGGATCTTCACGGGCCTTTACTTTGTGACAACCGTAAGTTTGACACATCAAGGTTTGTGTTTGACTCTGAAGCCAGTAAAAACAGTTAACTTGACACGTGAACTGACAGACACACTGAATGAACAGTATCACTGACAATTTGATTCACAAAATAATCCTGGGATTCAGAAAATAGAAAAAATGCAATAAAGCCTCTTTGGGGGTTACTTTTCAGATTTCCCGAAAAGATTAAGTCGAGCAGGGGAAATATTAAGACTTTTGGGGTAACAATACGAAGCACCCATTTTAAAGATAGATAAAAAACAGTTTGATACCATCTACCCCATGCATAAGGCGACTCCCCTATTTGGGCTGATCTCAATAATTATTGAAGGCAAGATAACAGCAGGGGACACCTGAAGTGGGATACCCACATTGTACATGTGGGGA